ATGCTGTTTCATGTTCAACAGATTATTGGTTTGGAAATCCCTTTGAAGACAAGTACACACATGTCCAATGCCAACCATTACGCATAGTAATATTCTAGAGAGCCCGATCCGTTTGCACAACTCATGTGCTGTCACTTGTCAGGTTGTCTAGGGTATGGCTATGACGACATGTTGGCCCACGAACTTGGGCTTGGCGGTCTGGGACTACATGTAGTCAGTTCAAACCCTCTGCTTCATTTCGGCTATTTGCCTTGTTGGCCCTTGTGGGTAAATGCACAGTTCTGAGTCCGTGGTAGTTGATGGGACGACTCTTGCATTTGTTATTTGTTGTCTTGAATCTTATCCGATGTGGGGCCTGTCAAATAGGTTACTTAACATTACGTAACAATGTTCTCCGTCGCTCGGCCCTGGAACGTGTTTCTACTGTTGATGAGAAACTCCCCGATGGAGAGTCCATCTTCAACTCAATGTATTTGTTCAATCTAGATGTAAGCAATCAAGGACCTACATACACTCCCTGTCCGGGCACGCCCTGGGTTGTGACTTCGGGTAGTTGCGCCTCGGCCCTAAGCCGTTAACCGCAAGTGGATTATGCAACCGGGGAGACGATGCAACGTCGTCGGGGTGTTTCGGACGTTGGCCATTGATGGCCCATTGGTCCGCATCCACGGAAGACAACTCTGCATGTATGTTGGTACAACGGCCTTGACGGATGGTTGGTGGATGCCCTCATATTGTCTGTCTATCTGAAACTCATGAGAGAACAGGAACCTGGAGATGACGAGGCATCTGTTTTATTCTCGTAACATAACATGGCCAATCACGCAGCTCCCTGACAGAGCTGGGTGCTCTACACCAAGCATAGCCGATAACACGGGCCGACAAGTGAAAACACGGCTTCATAAGCCGCAATCGCACCAACACAGGATGCGGTAGACTTTGCTTTTGTTGATATTTATCAAGGGAGCTGCACGTACGGTGCTTAGACCTACTTTCCTTGCAAGTTCAGATTTAGTGCGTGGGGCGCAGATGTCGCGGCGCTTATACGAACTCACCACGTCACGGCGCTTCGTATACAAACAACGCGACAGCAAAGTTTCAGGTCGGCGCTGAAAACGGCTGCCATGCCCACATCCAGGACGAGCAGACTGCCTACATAATCAGTTTCGCCTCACCGTGTCAGACCTGTCGTGGACTAACCTGATCCAACCGCCTCCTCCGTAGGTCGTGCTCGCGTTGGCAAGGCTGAGCAACATGCGCGCAAGGCCGCCTCCAAAACCGCCTCCTGCACTGGTTTCACGTCCGGTGAGCATACGAATGAACATTGAAGGCAAAGGACCCAGTGTTGCGGTGTGCCGGCCGCTAGAGTTGCCGTCATAGGCGTGCTTAGCTATAGTCGTAGAAGAGAATCGACAGGGTTGGCTCCGTCTTCTATATGCTGTCACGGCCGGATGGGGCGGTGGCCGTTTGACACACAGAATACGACAAGTGCTGAGGAGATGACGACTATAACATGCAACTTTTGCCTTGATGGTTGGTGTGAATAGGCCATCTTTCCTCATTCTTTTTGCACTTCTCTAAACCTTGCGACATGCAGCCTCACAGAGTCTTCATCTTTGGGGACCAAACCGGTGGCTTTGCTACTGGGCTCCAACAGCTCTTGCTGGACAAGACGAACCCATCATTGGTGTACTTTGTTGATCATGCCAACTTGGCGTTGAGACAAGAGCTGAGTCGTCTGCCCAGCACGGATCGGGAAACACTGCCATTGATTGGCAGCGTCCAGGACATTCTAACACTGCATAAAAAGGGAGAGAGAAATGTTGTAATTGATAGCATACTGTCCACCGTGTATCATTTGGCCTGTTTCATCTAGTAAGTATCGTAACACCAAGTCCCGTCAAGAGAAGAGCTGTACTGAGAAGCTCAGCAAATATGGCAACGCAGGATGCGCCTATCCCAATAGGCAAGATGTCCACGTCACGGGAATGTGCGTGGGCTCGTTGGCCGCAGCAGCAGTCAGTTGCTCCCGCTCTATAGGAGATGTAATAGTGGCTGGCATCGTTGCCATCCGAGCCGCCTTGAGAGTAGGCCTGCGTGCCCATCAGGCGGCTCTGCTCATCAGCAATAGAGCAGCACCTCACACGCATTGGTCGTATGCTGTCTCAACCGAGTCCCTGCGGCTCGACTTGATAAAAGATGCACTTGAAAAATTTGCACAAGACATGGTACGGTGTGGTGGCCAAGAGCAAGAACAGAGAACCAGACATTACGTTAACATATGGTCACAGGATACCTCTCCTTTGAGCCATCCCTACATCAGCGCCATCGGTTTAGACTCAGTTACCGTCAGCGGACCTCCAAGCCACCTGCATCAGTTTTGGCGAGAAAATACAACTTTCCACAAACCAATCCCTATCCCGATCTGGGCTCCATATCACGGACCGCACATTTTTGGGGACAGCGATGTCGAAACCATTATTGAGAGTCTACACCCCATTCCAAAACTATCACAGCAAGCTCCTATAATCTCCAGCGGCAGCGGAGTGATGGCTTCACAGACTTTGGCCGACTTGATTCGAGCCGCGTTACGGGACATCCTCTTGCATCGGCTCGACTTGCCAGCACTGGTGGGCCATATCAAGGACATTTTCAGATCATCCCCGAACCAAGACTTTGCAATGACCCCAATCGCAACAAATGCAGCCACAAGCTTGGTTGCCACCACGGCCAAGGCCGCAGGAAACACGGGCAGCGTGGACAATGAAATAATGGACGCGGCGGCGCTTGCGGGAAGTGCAAGCCGAGCAACGTCCGCCAAAACCCACGACTCCAAAATCGCCATCATTGGCATGTCGGGGCGCTTCCCAGAGGCCGCCGACCTAGATTCCTTCTGGAGTCTTCTCGAGCAAGGCGTCGACGCGTATCGGCCGGTCCCCCCGGACCGCTTCGACGCCCACGCGCACCATGACGAGACTGGACGGCGCAAAAACACGAGCAAGGTGCTGGGTGGGTGTTGGATAAACCAGCCCGGGCTCTTTGACCCCAAGTTCTTTAGCATATCGCCCAAGGAGGCAGAGCAGTCGGACCCGGCGCAGCGGCTGGCTCTGCAAACCGCGTACGAGGCGCTTGAAATGGCCGGCGTGGTTCCCGACAGGACGCAGTCGACGCAGCGCGATAGGGTGGGCGTCTTTTACGGCATGGTGAGCGACGACTGGAGGGAGATTAACAGCGGGCAGAACATCGACACGTACTTTATTCCTGGTATGGCCGACTCCCTTGTCATGACGATGGTTCAGTGAGGTTCAATGTTCTGACAGTTTGCTCAAGGCGGCATCCGGGCGTTTACGCCGGGCCGCATTAATTACCACTTCAAATTCAGCGGACCTAGCATCACTGTCGATACGGCTTGCTCGTCTAGTCTGGCGGCCATCCACGTGGCGTGTAATTCTCTGTGGAGGGGCGACTGTGATACGGCGGTTGCGGGCGGCGTGAATGTTCTCACCAACCCGGACATTTTTGCGGGTTTGGACCGCGGACATTTTTTGTCGACGACCGGTAAGCAGCGTGACATCAGAATATTTCGGCCGGAGTGACTCGTGGCACTAACCCAGGCCAGGCAACTGCAAGACATTCGACGACGATGCAGATGGATACTGCAGGGCCGACGGCGTGGGAACCGTCATTCTCAAGAGGCTCGAGGACGCCGTCATGGACAAGGATCCGATCCTCGCCGTCCTCAACAGCGCCTACACAAATCACTCTGCGGAAGCAGTCTCCATAACGAGGCCTCACGCCGGCGCCCAAGAGCTCATCTTCTCCAAGCTGCTGAGGGAAACGGGCATCCATCCTCACGATGTCAGCTACATTGAAATGCATGGGACGGGCACCCAGGCGGGAGATGCAACCGAGATGAGTTCTGTCCTGCGCACCTTCGCCCCTGATACCGGCCGCCTGTCAAGTCAGACTTTACATCTGGGCTCAGCGAAATCCAATGTCGGACATGGCGAAGCCGCGTCTGGCGTCACGTCTCTGATTAAAGTTTTGTTAATGATGAAGCATAACACGATTCCTCCCCACTGCGGGATCAAGGGCCGAATCAACCACCGGTTCCCAACCGACCTCCGTGAACGCAACGTCTTTATTGCCTCGCAGCCGGTGGCGTGGAATAAGCCTCACGCGGGCTCCGGCAAGCGACGGGTGTTTATCAACAACTTTTCCGCGGCGGGAGGCAACTCAGCTCTGTTGCTGGAAGACGCTCCTACCGACGAGCACCCCGAGACCAAAGATCCGCGATCGACTCACATCGTTGCCGTGTCGGCAAAGTCCTCCACATCACTGGCGAATAACTTGAAAAGGCTGAGGGATTTTGTACAAGACAATATACACGACTTGGATTCGCTCTCCAAGTTGTCCTACACAACCACGGCACGGAGGATACACTACCCGTTCCGGGCTGCCATGGCCGTTTCATCCAGGGACCAATTGCTCCAAGGTATCGAGTCTGTTCTTCTCCGTGACGAGATGCCCAAACCAGGCAAAAGCCAGAAGAACATAGGCTTTGTCTTTTCAGGACAGGGAGCACAGTACGCCGGCATGGGGCGGCATCTGTTCCACAACAATCACACGTTCCGCACGCAAATCTTGGCATGTAATCAGATTTGTCTCAGCCATGGCTTTCCGTCTATACTGGAAATCTTCAAGCAAGACGTCGACATGAACAGTCTCGAACCGCTCCTTGTCCAGCTCGGCACCACCTGCCTGCAAATGAGTCTGGTGGCGTTTTGGAAATCCCTAGGCGTCACGCCAGACTTTTGCATCGGGCACAGCCTCGGCGAGTATGCCGCGCTGCAGGCGGCGGGCGTGCTCTCCGTCAGCGACACAATCTACCTGACTGGCATCCGAGCACGGATGCTTCAGGAGAAATGCAGCGCCGGGAGCCACGCGATGCTTGCCGTCAGGGCGCCCCTGGCCCGGGTGAATGCCTTGCTCGACCCGGCCATTCACGAGGTGACTTGCCTTAACGGCCCCCAGGACGTCGTCATAGGCGGCCGGGTGGCAGACGTGGAAGAGCTTGAAAAGGAACTTGCCAAACAAGACATCAAGGCGGTCAAGGTCAGCGTCCCGTTTGCCTTCCACTCGACGCAGGTAGAGCCGATCCTTGGTGAATTCTGCGACGCTGCACGGGGGGTGCCGTTCCAAACGCAGAATATACCCGTGATATCTACGCTCCTGGGCGAGGTTGTTCAGCCTGAAGCGACGGGTGTTTTCGGACCGGGATATCTCAAGAGGCACTGTCGAGAACCTGTCAACTTTGCTGCTGCTGTTGAGGCTGCAAGGGACGCCAACGTGATACATGCCGGGACGGTCTTTGTAGAAATTGGACCTCACCCCGTGTGTTTGGCTCTTTTGAAATCCAACATGGGCCCGGACGCGGTGACGTTGGCGTCGCTGCATCGCAAGGACGACGGCTGGAAGGTGTTGGCCGACACGCTTGCTGCGCTGTATCAGGCTGGGCTGAAAATCAACTGGGACGAGGTGCACCGCGACTTTGCGTCCTGCCAGGAGGTGCTTCCGCTGCCGAGTTATTCCTGGGACAATAAGAACTATTGGATCCAGTATGTTCACAACTGGACCTTGACGAAGGGTGATGAGCCGGCCGCCACGGCCGAGACGACGGCGCTCCAGGCCCTGGACGGTTTGACGAGTTCTGTCCAGAAAATCATTCGGCAGACAGACGGGCCCGGATCCTTGGTTACCATTGTGGTGCAGTCCGACTTTGGGAGTGCTCGGCTGGCTGAAGTCGCTCAGGGGCACAAGGTGAATGGCGAGATGCTCTGCACTTCGGTACGTCTCTGAATATTTCCACTCTTTGTGTTTTATTAATCTGTAGAGATGATGGTACTGACATTCTTGAACCCCCGGCGGCAGTCGCTGTATGCTGAAATCGGAATGACGCTGGGGCGTCAACTACTCGAAAAGTATAGGCCCGATCTCGATGGATACAGCACGGAAATCAAGGACATGTCTGTCGACAAGCCACTGATTCTCAAAGACGAGAACAAACGAACCCTCTTCAGAGCAGAGGTCGTTCACGACAAGAGCACCCACACGGCCACCATGTCTATATACTCTGTCGACAGTGCGGGAAACAAGACGGTAGATCACGCCCGCTGCCTTCTGCGGTTTGCCGATCCAACGTCGTGGCTCGACGAGTGGGAGCGCACCCATTATTTGATTGACAGGAGCGTGCGCTGGCTCGAAGAGAGAGCGGAACAAGGGACCGACAGCCTCCTCTCCAGGGGCATCGTGTACAAGCTCTTTTCTTCGCTCGTCGACTACAGCCCCTCGTTTAAAGGGTTGCAGGAAGTCATTCTCAACAGCGGCGACAGAGAGGCCGCGGCCAAGGTGAGGCTACAGGCGAAAAAGGGAGACTTTGACTGTAATCCAATGTGGATCGATAGCTTTGGCCAGCTGACGGGGTTTCTCATGAATGGCCACGACTTCACGGGCAAGGACGAGGTGTTTATCAACCATGGTTGGAGGTCGATGCGGTGTGCGAAGCCGTTTCGAAAGGACGCCGTGTACCGAACGTACATACGCATGCAGCATGTCGAGAAGACAAAGTACCGCGGGGATCTGTATATAATAGAAGACGGGGTGATTGTTGCCGTGTTTGGGGGAATGACGGTGAGTACCATGGCCCTCTAGACACATGACATGGTTGTACTGACTGCTGTAGTTCCTTGGAATGTCCCGCAGCCTGTTGAACAAGGTTCTGCCTCCTAGACGGGGTACGGATGCCATCAACACAGCTCATCCCGTGGCCGCTGCGCAGCAAGGGATGGCGGCGTCTGCAAAAGATACCGAGCGACGGCCCTTGGATATCCCAACTCGGGCCCAGCGTCAACCTAGCTCCGCTCAGACCGGTACGATGGGTAGAATTCTGGCAATATTATCGAAAGAGGTTGGACTTTCTATGGAGACCTTGACAGATGATTTGGTCTTTGCCGACTACGGCGTGGACTCTCTTCTCTCTCTTACCATTACGGGCCGGATACGAGAGGAGCTCGGCCTGGACATGGACTCGTCCATCTTTACCCATTACAGCACCCTGGGCGAGCTGAAAGCCTTCCTCGGCGCGGACCAGCTCCCAGACGATGCCGTGGCCTGCGAGTCCAGCAACGGACAGCACACGCCTCAAACCAGCGACAAAGGGTCTGGCACACTCGCCGTCCAAAAGACCGACGACGACACCAGTCCCGACATGACTCTCAATAGAGTGTGTGCCATTATCGCAGAAGAGGTTGGGATATCGGTGCAGGAGTTGTCCAGCAGCCAGGACTTTCAGGAGCTTGGGATAGACTCTCTGTCGTCACTCACCATCCTCAGCCGCGTCCGGGAAGAGCTGCAGCTCGACCTCGAATCAGACTTTTTCGACACGCACCCCTCCTTCTACTCTCTCCAAAAGGCCCTCTGCGGAAGCGAAGCGGCTTCGAACGGAGCGCCAGAGGCCAACGAGACGACTCCATCCAGCCATCGTCTCGAGTCGGACCTGCGCAGCATCACGTGGCAGTCGGGCCAGAATATCGTCGCGTCACCGCCGCACGCGACGTCTATACTGGTCAGCGGGTCTCCGTCCACGGCGAGAATGATCTTGGTCCTGTTCCCCGACGGCTCTGGCTCTGCGGCATCGTACGGCGCCCTGGCTCCCAAGATCCGGAGGGACATTGCCGTCTACGCACTCAACTGCCCCTGGCGCACGAACGGCGAGGAAATCCTCCGTCTGGGCGTCACCCTGGACCAAATGGTGGCCAAGCACCTCGTTGAAGTTGGTCGCATTCTCGACAGCCACCGGCACGGCCGGCCCGGGTCTGCCAACGCCTCCGTCGGCTTAGCCCTGGGCGGCTGGTCGGCCGGGGGCATCCTCGCCCTCGAGGCAGTGCGGCAGCTGGGTGAGGCCGGCGTCGCGGTGCAGAAGATGGTGCTGCTGGACGCTCCGAATCCCATTGGGCTGCAGAACCCGCCGCCTCGCATGTTTCACTTCTTGGATGAGTTGGGGATCCTCGGGGCCGGCAAGGGCAAGGCGCCGGCGTGGGTGCTCCGGCATTTCGACGCCATGGTTAATCTTTTGAAGTCGTATAGGCCTCGGCGGCTGGGGGCGGAGGATGCGCCCAAGTGTCTGATTGTGTATGCGAAGGACGGGATTTGCAAGGACCCTGATGGGCCGAGGATGGATACGAAGCCGGATGATGCGCGTGAGATGTTGTGGTTGTTGTATAATCGTGTTGACTTCTCGGCCGAGGGGTGGAAGACCTTGGTTGGGCAGCAGAATCTGGCTGTGGGCGTGGTTGACGACGTCAATCACTTTTCTATGATGAACCCGGGGCCTAAGATGATAGAGATGGGGAATTTGATTGGGGAATTTTTGCTTGGTCCCAGCTAGTGTTGAAGTAATTGTAATGGTGGGAAGGGAGGCACGACTTGGTATAATTGGCGGCTTGTTTACGGAGGACTAGTCGTGATGAAGATCACCGTCGACGTATAGCAATGTCGGAGGAGAGAATGAATATTAGCTACTTCGAGTATAACAAGAGGTTATAGCATTAATAGAATAGAACTGTCTTACTATACTAGGAAGTGACGTTTTACAATAGTTCTAATGCTAAACTTGCTATTTGTGAATAGCTTCTGTTTTCCCAACCGAACGAAAGTTGGGCCTGTTTTACATACGATATGTGTCTGAAATGATCCGTCTAGTGCTAATTTATTGCTCTCCAAGTAAGGAAAACGTGAATCTCATGGGTGTTCCGTATCTTGACACTCTATTATTATACTCCCCATTCACATATCGACTTGTACAAAGCCGCAGTGTTATAACATTGGCATTAAACACATACCCATGACACGAGGAGAGATCCAATGTCTTGGTCTTGTCTGCGTGCGCTCTTCCTTGTTCCACCGCATGGCAACGATCCGCCGGTCCAATCGAGCAGCCAGTCCCTGCCTGCCAAAGCGGCCTGACAAACGCCGATGGGCCTCGGAGCTGGTTGCGTAATTCGAGACACTCTGTGTTCCTCAAGTGTCATTGCAGCTAATATTAGGTTGGAAGATAAATATCAACGAAACTAGAGTCGTTGAGTGTCGCAGGTGACACATGGTTGATGACACCAGTTATAACCCCTTTCTGCCCCGCTGGCCGCGCGCTCGAGCAGTAGACACAGTCAATCTATTCACACGCCCGCGCCGGTGGCACAGAGTTCAAGCATATTCTGGCTCCGAGACACTTGGCAAAAGCCATTCATCATTTCTCTAAATATACAATATCCGTGTCGACCTACCGGTAGTCGGTTTCAGGTTCCTGTCGCCGTGGTCGATGGCGTAACCAGAGAGCTACCACGGCGCAGCGTCGTCATCCGCCCTGCCCGCTTACATTGACACTCATCTATTTAAAAGACGGCCCGTCTCACAATATACACAATTATCTGCACCTATTCGAATTTGTGTATTTTGCAATTAAACTATTAAAATGGCATCCAGCGAGGAAACACCACGCTCTCTAACAGGCAAGGTGGCCCTCGTCACCGGCGCCGGGCGCGGCATCGGTAAAGGCATCGCACTCGAGCTAGCCAAGCGCGGAGCCTCCGTCGTCGTCAACTACAACAGCGCCGAGAAGCCGGCGCAGGAAGTTGTCGACGAGATTGCCAAGACGGGCAGCCGTGCCGTGGCCATCAAGGCCGACATCACCAAGGTGCCCGAGGTTTCGCGCCTCTTCCAGGAAGCCCTCCGGCACTTTGGCCACCTGGACATTGTGGTGTCGAATTCCGGCACCGAGGTGTTCAAGCCGGAGGAGGAGGTGACGGAAGAGGACTACGACCGCGTCTTCAACCTCAACACCCGGGCGCAGTTCTTCATCGCCCAGCACGCCTATGTGCATCTCCGGAACGGGGGCCGCATCGTCCTCATGTCGTCTGTCGCTGCGAACATGTCGGGGATTCCGAACCACGCGCTGTACGCGGGGAGCAAGGCCGCCGTGGAGGGGTTTACCCGTAGCTTCGCGGTGGACGCTGGCCATAAGAAGATCACTGTCAATGCTATTGCTCCCGGGGGCGTAAAGACGGACATGTATGATGCGTAAGTACTTTGGGCGGCTGGTGAGAGGGGGAATAATTGCTGATGGTCTTGTTTTCAGGAACGCGTGGCACTATGTGCCGAATGGCAAGCCGGGCATGCCTATGGAAGAGATTGATAAGGGCCTGGCGGCTTTTTGCCCGCTTGGGAGAGTTGCAGTTCCTCAAGACATTGGGCGCGTGGTTGCCTTTCTTGCTCATCCCGACAGCGAGTGGGTGAATGGTACGTTTGCTTGACTTGGAAATGTCGTGAAATGTCGCTAACCTTGTATAGGCCAAGTTATCCTCCTTACTGGAGGCTCCGTCACCTAAGCAAGTGAGTCGATAACTTGCGAAACATAGACGCTGAGGTCTGCTGTGTTTTGCTTGCGTTGGATTTCCGCGCTGTAAAGGCATTCATGAGGGGGGTACTGTTGGCATCTTGGTCGACTGCTTTGGACTTTGATGTGATCTAGAGTCGCTGGCTTTGCCACTTTGCTGAACCGAGAGGGCCGATGTGTAGTGCAGTATTCAAGAGAAAGACTTTAAGAATGACAATTGCAAACTATAAAGTGAAGTCTTTTTAACGTTGGAAGAACTGTCAAGTTGCAAGAAGAGAGTGATGCGAAGTTGTCCACATTTATACTGTCTCAAGGCAACGTTCGGGAATGAGACTCGCCGTTCACTCTACTCCGCCTCACTCTGCATCACAGCGCTAAAGTGTTTAAATGTCCGCCCAGAGTAACAGCAGTGAGCATGGCATGGAACAGCAGCGGAACTAGTTGAGCCGTTCAACTTGCGGCGCCTAAAGCCCATCTCAAATCCAATGAGAGCCAACGTGAAAGCAGAATGACGAGGAGGGCACCCTTGGTTGCTAGACTTCTAAGAAATGTGTAATCGAAATGCCACGCATTGCAGGAACATGACGCGGTGCGAGCGACAGTATAAAAACTAGACTTTATGGCTAGAAGTTGACATCATACATACATGTAAGCAAGGTTATTATACAACTAGGTCGTATCATTTCTGCTAGCAAACTTCTTACACCGTATCATGGCTACGAATGTTTCTCCGACTGTGTGTAGGAGCCCTTGAAAACCTCTTCAAACTTGTACTCGTTCCATCGCACTTCTGGCTTCAAGCCTGCAAATTTCCAAACTCCACTGCTCTTGACGTAGTAGTGCTCGTTGGTGGCGTGGCTATGTCCCCGTAGCTTGACCGTCTTCAAATCCGGGCTCGTGTAGACCTGATGCGCGGCCCTCAACTGATGATGCCCGATTACCTTGGACTCGGACACTCGCTCCCAGTACGTGGCGCCAATCAGATGCTGTGTCTTGACACACGGATCGCCGAGGAAGTCATCGTTGGAAACCATGGCCATGAAGTCGTCGGCAGACATGGCGTCCCATTTCTCCTTGCCAATCTTGGTGTAGTCAACGTAGAGCGCGGGCGCGAGGATGGCGCGCAATCGAGCCCAGTCCTGGAATGAAATTCTCTGTGTTAGCAGATGAAGAGGTTGTTTGTTATGGAATGCCTGCTTGCCTTTGCGTCGTAGCTATCTGCCCATTCAAATACGAGTGTGCTCAGGTCGAGGTAGTCTGGTGAATGTTTGTTAGTGCCTCTTGCGTCTAGGAATTATTCGTAAGCTCGCACCCTGGAAAGATATGGCCTTTGACGACCCTGTCTTGCTGTCTGTTCCAGCAGATGGGGTTAAAGATTGGTTCATATTGTGAATAACTGTACGTGTTTATCGGTGATTAGAGACGCTGGACAGAGCGGAAAGCCTAAATTGTGTATTAGAAGAACAGTGTAGGCGTCTGGCAATTCTGTACCATGGATACGGTGGTAATATAGTCGTGATTGTGTTGCTTACGCTCCGCAGCCGAGTTCGTGTAAGCCGCACAGACAAACACCAGCGCCACGTCTCTAGCCTGTTACAGGAGTGACAACATTGAATGACTGCATGTGGAGTGTGCGAGAGTAGGCCCACCCTAGTCGTACATATGTCAATAGTTTTACATGTTAGTTTCAGGTAGTAGATAAATATCAACGAAATGCGGCTGACAGATGCCGCGTTCAGGTGGCTGTACGGACTCAATCTTGCATCCGCAGACGCAGCACATCGAGTTCTCCCAGTGAAAAGCGGTCACCGCTAGCTCAGGACATGACGAAGGCAACGGAGATGCGGCGTAAGGCTCGCCCACCGATCGCGAAATGGCCGTGCCATTTGTCGCGCAAGTTGTGGGAAGTATATTCGTAATTTACGGCGACTGACAATCGCTCTGTATGGTCGGCCACGCCCTTGTCAACAGACGCTGTACCTCTCTCCATTCTCGGAAAGATGCTACTTTGGTTCAGCTTCATGGTTCAGCTTCAGGGTACGTCAACAAATTCATAATGTGTCTGGTACAAAACGTAGCGTGACGCTTCCGCTAACCACCTCCTTAGGGCCCTGTCCCCAGTCACCAGAATGGACGACATTGTAATAGTTAGAAACTTTGTTACACCTGTTCATAAAGAAAGCGATCAAGATGCACCTGGCGTTTTGGCGAGTTTGTGCGTCAAGTGTGTCTGCTTCCCCCGTAGTCTGTTGTCCCAGGCGACCACGCCCGACAATCCTTATCCCGGCTACTTACACGTTGCAACTGAAATCTAAAAAAATCAGAGGATTAATTTCCCATCATGTCTTGTCGAATTATGCGTATATACTAGTCTAATCCACGCTTCCCAAATGCTCTACCAACTAAATACATCATCTCACACAAAATATCGCCTCATGAGAATTTCCCCCCCTTCAATCCCCGCCCCAACCCTCGGCACCGTGAGTATCCCAGCAGCAACCAAGTCTTCCGCCAGCCTGGCAATGAGCCCATCGCACCCTTTCGCAGCAACAACGTCAATCGTAACAGGCAGATACTCGGTGTGGTTCGTAATGGAACTAAACACGGGAACCTGGCCCAGCGGGAAGACACTATCCGGCGTCTCGGCAAATACCGATATCTGGCTGTTGGAAAAGCCAAACGGCGGCACTGGCGGGTTGATATATCGATTGCGACTGATGAAGTCCGCTGAGCCGTTGACGTGGAGAAGAAGGCCCGAGGAGCAGGTCAGGGGGTCAGAGCTTGGCGGGAGGATATTGCCATTGAACCAGTCCTTGAAAAGCGTCTTGTTGCGGACGGCATCGGACAAGAGGGAACTTGGCTGGGAGTCTCCCCAGGTCCAGCGGGCCAAGGGGACTGGGTTGACAAAGGGGAGGCGGCCGTCATGAACGGCTAAAGAGGCTTGGTTAGGGTCTTTTTATTACGCAAATGTTGATTTGGGTTCCGCTTACCAGCGTAGTCACGGTAAAATGGTTCTCGGACAAGCTTTGCCTGATCTTTGGAAATAATTGCGGCGTAGGTGGTATTCAGAAGTTGCGCAAGGCTCTGGTCGCCGGCTGATGTTGGCCTCGTCCTCTCCCATTCTTTGTTCAAATCTATATTAGTGGGAGAAGTATCGAGGAATTTGGCCAACTTGGTGACAAAGTTTTGCAGTATTGGGGCGTGAGAGGTATTTCCCGCAGGAAAGTCCAGCAAGTACAGCTTTTTGGGATATCTCGGCGCCTGGTGTCCGAAAAATGTGTACTTGTCCCCGTACAGCGCGGCATTGGCGGCATTCCAAAGAGAGGGATCGCGAGCCAGGAATCCAGGCGTGTCCAATTTGGGCGACAGCGGCATGACATTGTCGAGGCTGACGAGGCCGTGGGAAGGACGATTTCCGAAAATTCCCTGGACGGTGGCTGGTCCCCGGATTGAGCCGCCGGTGTCGCTGCCAACAGCCAGATCTAGCCACTCGTATGATGCTATTGACGAGCCGGCACCGGCGGACGATGTAGCGGGATCCTGATATCCGTCTCCGCGAGGGTTGAATGGAGAATGGTAGTCTACCCAGTCCGCGGTCGGTGTCTCTCCGTTGGCAAACTGCGATGTCTTTTGGACGCCGACAATAATGGCCCCCTTGTCAATGAGGTTTTGCATCGCAGTGCCTGTACTATTTGCCACGGGGTATAAATGGTACCACGCGCGGTTGCCGCAGCCCTTTTTGACGCCGGCCAGAGAGAAGATGTCCTTCACTCCGATGCGGACGCCAGCTAGGGGCTTGGCTTCGGTTTTCGTAAAGTACAGGCGGGAGGGGACACCGATTGTTATCGAGGCGGCTGCTGGGACTTGTGCTGACAGTGTTTGGAAGCGGCCGTCGGGTCGTTGTAGCAGCGACTGGGTAAAGGCGCCGGCAAAGTCATCATAAAGCCGGTAGGCTGGGTGTACCTGTCCCGTATGGACATTGAGGAAATATGGACCAGAGGGTATGTTGTGAGTGACTTGAAGCGGGAATACCGAAGATGAGACTCCATCATGGTAGTTGTGGTTCTTGTTCGTCAACTTGGCAAAGTTGAAGACAAAGATGGTTTCGAGAAATGCAGGTTGCCAAACATCGTCCACGGTTGACCAATTAAGAAACAAGCTTTGTAGAGTTGACTCGGTGTATAAATCCCCGGCTATCACGGTTGCCAGGACAAATCCAAGTTGATTTTGGCGAGCATTGATCGCAACCGTGCCATTGATAACCTTGCCCTGTGAGAAAGGCGAGACGAAATAATCGATGCCATTCAGTTGTAACGAAGTCCCGCTCCCTACCAAGGAAGATGCAGCAGTCGCCGCGAGGGCGAGGAACAGAAATGTTTGGTTCCAACCCATCCTGTCGTATCAGCGTCTAAACATGCCGATCACAGTCTGCCCCGGAACTTGGGAAGGGAGCGATGCGGCATTTAAATACTTCTCTGCTGCCCCGTCCTTGTCAATTCATCGTAGATGCTAGTACATGGTCATGTAGTAAGTCTAGCTGCATCTCCGAAGCCATGTCGTACGTCCGGTCATGCCACGATTCACCGGGTTGGTTCTCGCCGGCGAATTAATAAGACAACAGCCACCTTTGTGGAGATTTCCGCGATTCCTTCCCTGCGCTTTCGGTAGTTCAATCACCCTCTCGGCAGTATGACACGCCAAAACAGAATTAGCCTCGTCGTACATAAAACTGCGCACTTGGCACTGCAACGCTACACAGCAGCATACCCATGACGACTGGCTCAGAAGAGTTCTGCTGGTGGAGAAGAATGATGCTGCTACTAGTCTGCCTTTGGTATGGGATCTGCCATGATGAGGAAACAATTGGAGGTTCCAGTCAGGTGAAGTGATGCGCATAGCAAGAACCCTCAAAGCGGCCCGTCAGCATTCAGCTCATACTACGAAACTTGTCAATACGTCTCCAGAAGGCTTTCAAGTCGGCTGAATCAAAACGGTCCCTTGGGTTACGCAGGCTGGGGTTGCTGGGGTCAAGCCTCTGGTATCCGTTGGCCGTTGAGGTTCACCGAGATGCAGTGCGAGAGTCAGGTTATGAGCTAGAACTTGCTAGCGCAGTTCGTGCCACGAGAAGAGTAATATTGTTCCAAAATATTACGTTAAGGACGAGACTGCATGAGTCTAGACGTCCTTGGCCTTCCGACAGTGCTCTTTGAAAAGTCTGTTGTCGACAACAAGCTCGAGAACCCTGTGTACCATCTTGCCCACCAACCAAACGGGCGAAATTTTCTTCTCACCTGCATGCGGCTGTGCAGCCGGTCTTGCGCGGCTCGTCTGACACATAATTCCGGCGATCTCATTTGATGTATGTGCATGACGAATGCCGAGAATATCGTATGTACAATGTACGCAGGACAGTGCCGTAGATGGTCCCGCGCCGCCAGGTCCTCGACAATGCGTGATATAATGGCCGCAGCGTGGAATTCCGTGTCCCTGAAAGGGTGGTTCCAGGAATCGTGAAGCTTGGTCTCTGAGCTGCCGGTAGACAAGGGAAACCTGTACAACATACACACTGCGGTGTAATAGTCCAGGTGAGTGAGTGACGCCCAAAAGTTATCTCGGTGCCTTGGCCGGAATAGAAGGTCGGGATAGTTCTGGGGTCCGTCGGCAGGACATCTGTCTTCATATATATGTATGCGAAGCACCTCGTGCATGTTCTGTTGAGCTGTAGGCAGTGCTGAATATAGCGACAAGTGAATTCGGCCCATGATCTTGGATGGCTCGACGTACCGCAGGAAAACGTGTACGTGGACCAGATCAGGTGTATAGGTGTGGACAGCAAGTCCCGCGCAGTCTTCTTGGTCGATGAAATCATCGTGGTGCAGTGTCTCGACGTCGCAATCGTCCAGATTCATAATGATCGGACGCCCAAACTCAACCGCAATAGAATGGTCACGAGTAACTGGCGTCCACCAAATCCTCTTCCACGGCTTCGTGTCCGCGTTTCTCAGGAGCGACTCTTGAACACTTCGGTGCATACATGTATCTTGAGCAACGATAATCGCCCGATGACCCCAGTAGTAGACGTTTTGACGACATCGTCCTCGCCATCCCAGTGCCATCCCATTAGGATGAGTGACTGTCGTACAGTTAATCGATCAGTTTTAAAATTGGCATCGTAAAGCGCCCTGGCTTTTTGTACAAAGCACGCGATGTAGGGATTGTAGATCCATTCGCGTCCGTCAAGAGCGGGTTGTTCGATACGCGTGATGCGGCTAAATGACAGCCTGGAGGAGGAGAAGGGACGGCAGGTTGACATGATGGCAATACTGTCTCACGAAGCACGCCTTATTCTGTATAGGAGCGACGGGGTGTATCCGTGCAAAGTATGAATCGACAAGGTCATCGCAGAGTGGCTTTGGTGGCAGCATCAGGGCCCCTTTCCGAATCAGAATTTCGACTCCGATTCTGTCCAACTTTTCAATCCTGTTGCTTATAGGGATACTGTCGGTTGCAGCAGAATGCCCTAATTGTTCAAGAAAGCTCTCATGTCCTAGTAAGGCAATGCTGCAGGGCTCACCGTGGTACGCAAGTCGGTGCGTAGCGGTGACTGGGTCGCGGAAGGTGCCAGGCTCTACAAGCAGATTCATATAGGTTCTATTGACCATTAGCTGAGGGCATCGAGTCATTTGGAGTCGGTGGCGCCAGTGTTGGAGGGCGTCATCATGGTGATTGGTAGTCTGGCGCTTTCAACGACAGATCTGACGGAGGTGAGCCAACGTTCACGCGTGGATGGGACTACCAGGCACACAACGTACTTTTTCGTTACCTCGTCCGAGATCCGCTTCGCGCACTGGAGCTTTGATTCAGTGCCTTTAGCCACGTGGCACTCTATGTTGTGGGCGAGGCACTTTGCGCATGGCGTTCCTGGCTTGTCCAGACTATATCGAATCTGGAATTGTCAGCCCCTTTCAGCTCGTTGAATCGAGGTTGGTTGATGCTGAGCTACCTTCAAAGTTTAACGTATAGATAGTCCGATTGTGTCGTCAGTTAGCTCATGGCTACAACCTCTGAATCATGACACAGACAAGCGTCGAAGGCCATGGAGAGACCACTGATCTCACACGCGGCGAATGAGCGCGGCCTAGATAAATTGTGCTGGTCAGCCACTACCTTGACTACTGCATTGAATAACGTCGTCCTAGTAACACGTACGTCCTATGATGAGACTGTTCTCCGGGTGTACCATCTTCCAAAGATGGATGCTTGATTCTGGGGATAGATGACGCAGTCCTACCAGAAAGGTGACCATGAACAGGCCGGCTATTATGGGAAGACATGTGGCGGGAGAGAGTGCTAGCTCATTCGACGCCAGAGGCCAAGCAATTACTCAACTGAGACAACGATGATGGCCGGCCCGTATGAAAAGTGAGCATCGAGCTTCACCTTTGTTCCATGTCAGTGAAATTAAACTCAAGGAAGATGCGCCGCATGCTGTCTGCTTGGCCAGGGAAATTTTGGTCTTGACCCTCGGCATCTGTTCAGCGTCAAAGACATCCGATTGGCCGCTTCGTGTCAAGTCTGGTTAAGTATCCATTCCGGGTATGGTGTTCTGGTTGCTTTGTTCATAACGCCATCGAGATCCTCTGAAGTTGATAGGTCACTGGGGGCAGCATAATAAGAGTTACACTGCTTTAGCTTTCAAAGCCCAGTGAGACTCTAGAAACGGGTGGTTTCTGCGAGCAAGTAACCATGCCTAGATGTATATAAGGTGCATGATCCCTCGTCTCGGCCTTTCTACTTTGGCCATTTGTGTTGCTGATCCTGTCGCTAGTCAGTGCCAACATCAATTTCGGGACAATTTGACACGCCATCGCCCAGCAAGAATACCTTGTTTCTGGTGTTGCAATCTCCAAAACGTCCGTTAGGAGTTGTGCCTATTGGCCAGCTACAAAACGAGCTCCGTCAAGATCGGCACAACTTCCGGAGTTCAACAACCTAGACCAGGACAAGGTATAAAACTGCAAACCTTTGGCTGTACTAGTAGATTTCAATGTAGTATACAAGATAATGGCAGTATATAAAGCGGCTTTCCAGCAGGAATTTGTCCCATAATAGAGAATTCTGCTGACAAGACCGATGAGAATACTTGCTATACTTGACAAGATTCCTTGCAAGAAAACTTGATCTTGTTGCATGTTCGTGAGTATGATGATAATCACCCGCATTTACGATTTTCGTGGACGTTCCGTTCACGCCAGGGTACCCTGGCTCCGATCACATGGAGGCTGAGCATCACTTGCATAATCATGCGGCTTCTCCTTTGATGTCGATCATCCGACGGGTAGCTGGTACCTTAATTAATATGCAGCCCTACCGTTACAAAGGCGGCTTCCCCACAAATGTCCTTGTCCTCCGACTCTACCCCTTGAGTCTTTTATGCGCAAACTCCGACAACAATCGGATTCCCACAAAGCCAAGCACGTCATGCTGTTTTCAGAGACACTGACTCGCCAACTGCATCGTTTGCTAAGGAGGACCGAAGAAGAGTTTGTATATATGAGCATCACAAAGATGTGGTAAACGAAAGGCGGTACGACCCAAAAGCAATCTCTCTCAGTTCTGAGGTTATCACGCGGTCAGGTCTTATTCCCGGTCGCTTCGCAAGTCTCAATTTCGAGTCAGTCCTGCAAATCTGCCAAAGTAGATCTTTCTTAATTAAGAGCTTCCCCACCTGATCGAGGCCCGATGGTTCACAAACTGTTACCGTTTCTGTCTCAGGTTGTGGGCATCCCCTGGAGCTCAGCAGGGCATGTATACACATGGTTGGTCATTAAGCCTTGACAGCGGTTCCGAGCCGTTCGATGCAACCGGCGGATTTATGCCACCTTAGGTCTTGGCTGTCAGAGATGCAACCTCAACCCCATACTTGCCATGGGCTGTGCCGGGGCCAAGTGTTCGCAAAGGCCGTGGAGCAAACTGTTTCACATGTGAAGCTCCGGCTATAGGGAACGGAAAATGCTGCATCTTGACATGAGCTCAAAAAATCCCCGAGTTGGACGCCGACATCTCATCGTAGTAGAGCAAGACAAACGGTTGTGCGTGTTGAATACACGGACCACTGATCCCGTCCCAGACGACTTGAAGTTTACGATAGAGTATGATTCATTTCTCAGCAAGCACATGATCAATTTAGGAGCGTCGCCCCCTGGATACAAAGATTCATCATCGACTATCAGTATCAATCTCGACCCACCAGCGCAAGGCATTGATACCACACACAACCTAATATTGGACGGAGTAGTTAATGCGCAACATTCGGTCACTCCAATCATGAACTCAGTAATCAGCCAGCTGCTCCAACGGGTAGGTGAATTAGAACCAAGGTTCCCCATGTGCATGTCTGTCTGCCTGTTTGTTCAGATGGCCCACGAGTCAATTCTGGGAAGATGATGGCAGCATTGAAACAGCCCCAGCCACACCGGTGGCATGACGCGTTCGCAAACAGATCATGTCAGCAGATCCGCTTGACAAAGGATGCTGTAAACCAATTACCGCGTGGCTGTACGCGGAAAAGAGCGGTTGCTCGGGTCAAGGGATAAAGTAGCCACCAGTGGTTCTATATTGATAGTAGGCCTCCAAAAACCAGCCAAAAGATAGTTAGACCACGCAAGCAAAGAAGGCTTACGCAGACTCAATCCGGAAATAGGGACGAAAATTGGAACATGGTCAGACGAGATACGGTACCGAATCATGGCCGACTTAGTAATGTGTGGAGGATGAACTTTTTGCGCCCATCCCGTCGAATAATGCGCATAAAGCAAGAAGATGGTGGCCCTCTCGGCGGTTTCAAAATTCTTCAGCTCACAAGTCAAGTGGTTTAATACAGTGACCTCTTGTTCCTACGCAAAAGGTATCCCGGTCACAAGACTGCCTATTCGTCTTGCACAGCCGAGCCCGACATGCCCCTATCAAAGTCTCGACGTTAAAAAGCCCAATCTTCTCCCTCTCGATGATGATTTCCAGTCCTCCACCAACCACCGGGCTACTCTTCTATCCAAGTCTTGAATCAGCATCTTGAGCTCGCAACAATGGGACATATCCTGGTTCTTGCCGCGTTTACCTTTGCGGCCGTCACGGCTTCGTCCATCCCCGACCGCCCTACTACTCTGCCCTTGACTTTGCCCATCCTTCAAGAACGCTCAGAGCAGCCCATCACTTGTCTCACTGGCATCAAGCGCTCCCCAGAGCCTATCAACAGCAAACGCGGAATAGAAAAGAACTGCGGCAGAAGCCAGCGTGATGTGACTCGAGCATTCGCCTCGTGCGCTGCAAAGGCCCAGAAGGGTCGGGAAGCTGCCCTGAAAGGGGGAGAGTTGATGAAGACTCTGTTCAAGAGAGATGACGAGGCTACCCGCAAGCGAGTTGCCGACCATTTCGAACAGATTGCGAGTCAGTGTGGCGCCAAGGAGAATAGTGGTGTCTCTGTCAACTGTGGACAGTGTGAGCAGGGCATCGCGGGAAAGGCATACAAGGGAAGTGGCCCCATTACGCTTTGTAGCGTAGCCCTCGCGGACACGCAGAGCACGACACAATGTGGTGGTCAGGACCTTGATGATGTACTTTTACACGAAATGTCCCACGTCTTGGGAAGTACAGACGATCTTGGTTATGGCTTGGAGGCTTGTAAGCAGCTTGATGCTCAGAGAAGCCTTCAGAACGCGGATAGTTATACAAAGTTTGCTCGGGCCGCCACATTGAACTGCAGTGTTGGAGGCCCTAGCGGTCCCGGAAGTGACGGTCCTGGAAGCGGTGGTCCGGGTGGTGATGGCGATGATGGAGGGCCTTCCTCCCCGCCTGGTCCCAGCAATCCCAACAATCCCAACAATCCCGGCAGACCTGGCAGACCCGGGAGCGGCGGCCCTGGAAGCGGCGGCCCTGGAAAGCCTGGCAAGCCTGGTAGACCTGGTAGACCTGGTGGTGGTGATGGTGGTGATGGCCCATTATCCCCCCCTGGCACTGGCGGTCCTGGTAAGCCTGGTAAGCCTGGTAGACCAGGAAGTGGCGGCCCAGGAAGCGGTGGCCCCGAAGGTCCTGGAAGCGGTGGCCCTGGTGGTGATGGCGGTGATGGCTCTTTATTCCCCCCAGGAACCGGTGGCCCTGGTGGTGATGGTGGCCCTTTCCCTCCTTTCGATGACGGCAATGGCATTGATGGTGGTGACGGTGGCCCTTTCCCTCCTTTTAATGGCGGCAATGGTATTGATGGTGGTGACGGTGGCCCTTTCCCTCCTTTTAATGGCGGCAATGGTATTGATGGTGGTGACGGTGGCCCTTTCCCTCCTTTTAATGGCGGCAATGGTATTGATGGTGGTAACGGTGGCGATGGAAACAACCCCTTCACTTTCCCTCCCACCACGGGTGGTCCTGGTGGCAATCTCGGCCCCGGGGGTGTTCAACCCCCTCTGTCTCCATTTGACGGCGGCAACGGCATTGATGGTGGTGGCGGTGATGGGGGTTTCTTCTCTTCGTCGGGCAATTTCCCTCCTCAGGGCGCCCCTCCTCCCGGAGGCATCTCTGCCTTCAATGCCCCTACTGCCCCTCAAGTTTTGCCTATTCAAGATTATGATCGTGTTGAGAGTTCATAAAGTGCCAACATTGTATTTGAGATTATAGTTGAAACCTTTCTGGAAAGGTTGGTTCGCATGAAGGAATGCTGGAGTTGGAAGTAGCCGTGTATACAAAGAGCCATTCTTCAATTAGTAATGGCCAGATTTAGAAAAAATCTTTATCGTTGACTGAGAGTCGGTGAATGCAGTCTTGTTCAATGGTAGTCCGATTCATCCTTGGGACCTGGGTGACGCAAATTTCCAACTAGTCCACATATCAAGATAATATTCGCCTCGCCAAGGTCTCGTGTGAATGGGTCGACTTGGGTAAGACCTATGTCGGCTTTTCCATGGCCAGCCATCAAAGACCGCCCTTCTAATGGCGACCACACCCGGTCCGCGCGAAATGTAACTCGGGCATTGGCTCGGCTATGGAATCATGCCCGCACTCACATATTAAATCGGCCATGACACGACAAAGGCTGATTGATGGGCCCTCTATGACAAATCCACTCCGGGTATCAATGATTCCATATAACTCTGCCTTGATGCTAGCACTGCTCCATGCATAATCGCCCGCGACACGTCGTCGTCCGATTAGTTATTAACCCCTGCGACTTACTCTTCGCAAGGTTCTCGACTCTCAAAGAGATAGAAAACACGAGAGTACTACTTCTATTTATATATACGTACGTTCACATATCACAAGCCTAGGATACTATTTACTTCTTATCCGATTCGGCACCACCCCTCCCGTCGAGTCTCACTAGGCAACATTGAACAAAATTTTCTCACCCTCATGCAAATGAATAAAAATCATGACATCTTCACCACTCGCCTGCCCAATAATCCGCACATACCTAGGCTACCCTTGCTAGAACTGCGCAGCGTGTACTATTGGAGCGACCCCTGAGGCTGTACGACCCAGTTCATCTCCATGGCTACCCGATCGAACCAGAGTATGAGGGTCAACTTTGCAAAATTTAACCACAGAACATGTTGACTTGTATCCAATACAGGGCTATTACGAAGACTATGCATCATACACGCGGGTCGTTATTACCGAGTCACGTTTGCATGGAGCTTTTCCTATTATCCAACGTATTCATGTACGCGCAAGAGTATAAATACTACAGGCTGCCTACCATATTCTGCCGTGATGTATAGACATATCAGCAGTGAAAATCTGTTATTACCCACTTTATTAGAAGTGTAGGAAACTCCAATCTTTCAAATGGCGCCAAAGGCTGCATTGACACTCGCTGTCGCGTTTTCCGCCCTCTTGGCATCGGCAGCAATCATTCACAAGTGAATTGTCCACGGATTCGACGTCAAGGAAAGTAAAATCAAATTCATCGTCAGTATACACAATGAGAACGGGACCCATCCCTGCGGAGGCAGTCTATTGGACAGCTATCCTGTTCTTACCGCTGCTGATTACATCGGGCCCAAACTTGTCTCTGTGGCGGCCGGAACCGTGATAAATGTAATACCTTAAACCCCAAGACTTTGCTGTAGCGGATTCAATTACTCATGGCATAGAGCTAATCACTTTAGTAGGACATCAGTACGACGGGTGTAGAAGCAAAAATCGCATCTTCCAAGATGCACCCAGATTACAAATTGGACTTCCCGAAGGGCATTATTTGGGTGGACAATGATATTGGCATCGTGAAATTAGCGACTCCGATTGAGAAGAGCAATTGACACTATTAACTACGCCCCGCTGCCTCCGGCCTGCTAGGAAGCCTTAGTCAATTCCACTGCCGTCGCCGCAGGCTGGTACGTTTCATGGCTCATGGCAGCATGTACACGAAATTTGGAAAGAAGCTGACTGGCAGGACAGGGGCTCACAAAAGCCCATGTATGCAGGTTGTAAACCTGGTGAAAGAAACCTACCAGCTAAAACACTTAGCAAGGTTGTTCTCGGTATTCACTCGCGCGAGGACTGTGCCAAGTATCAGGGTGTAGGAGACAGAGATACCATAGTCTGTGCCGGGGGAGAAGGCAAGAACATTTGCAAGGGGGATGACGGTGGTCCTCTAATCGACCGGAAAACAGGACTGTTGCTCGCTGTCGTATCATGGAGCATCCAGGTAAATAGAAGTATTGCAACTGGACTCCTTGGCTATTTTCCAGAGTCAGCAGCTACATTGACTTCATCAACGAAAATCTCGGTGGCCCTGATTCTGACACGAATTCGCAGTGTTAAATTTCAAGAAGCTCGAGGCTCTGAGGGCCCAGCAAAAGGAGCTCTGCAAAGAACTTGGAAAGGACCTGGACCAGTGCCGGCCCCAAGTCGCCGAGTGTGTCTTCTGGGCAAGCGCCCAGAAGAACAATGACTTGGACGGCGGGCCGTCTGGACAGGCATCAAGAAGTGTGTGAATCAGATCTTTGGCTAGGCTGAAGATGCCTGCTACTCTGGACCTGAGATACGGTAGCTCCAACAGGTTTTTAGTCCAACTATCCAACAGTCTAGGCAGATAACAAATCTAGTAACCACAGCCTTTCAATCCCTCTTGAACAATGTCACCCCAGCTTCTTATACTAACCAAGGTCACACATCATGGCACCGCGAGGTTCGGAGTGTATCCCGGATGCCTGTGGAACACGAAGAGACGTTTCTCGGCACCTTTGTGACGGAGAATGCAGACCCGGTTGCTGGATGTACCTTGCCCTATACAAGTAGGTGGGGTTGCTTGTCAACAGTTCAAATACACTGCATCTAAAACCGGTATATAAGGTTAACTATAACAGACACTGGTAGAATTGCCTTTTGCTTGGTGTGGCTAAACCGTGACATTGCTCAGCAAGAGAGCGAGTTCATTTTAGACATGCTATCCAGCGATTTAATATGTGTTTTCACAGAAAGAACCTTTGTGCCACGAGTTGTTGGGGCCTCTGCACTTCGTAATGTGTAGGTGTGTGTCTGCATATGTGATGAAGACATTTACGAAAAGAAAATGAGCAAAGTGTGAGCATCTGGTGGTGGTGGACCGCCCCATCCATTGTTCTCCGAGTAAATGGAAACAAAAAATTATGCATTTATGTGGCCCTTTGCATTTACAACTTGATACATCAAAATCACCTCTGCGGGTGCTTTACTTTCTGCCATTTTACGTCCTATTCATCTCGTCGGTTCTGAAATCGGGTCCAGTCATTTCGAGAGGTGAGATACATTTTGCCATGCAGCGATTATGCTTACATGCTTTCTGTATAATCAGCCCGGAGCTGTTCTGTCGTTTTCGCAATAAAATCTGTACCGCTCCCGGAAATGTATATCCGGTCGGATGGACATTCATAAAGATCTAGACTCCCCAAACGTCGCCGGTATTTCCGACACCTCCACCTCACTTACCGGCCCAAAACCCAAGACACTTCCCCAGCCGTAGTTTTGACCTGCTTTCTCTTCAGGATAATGTGCTAGATTGTGCTCCCCTATCCTTTGACTGCGGGTGCCGATAATAGTTCAAATTATCGAGGCTGTATCATATTAGAGTCCGGCATCACACGGATTCTCACTACATCTCACCATCGACTCCGTCATAGTTCACTTCGACGAGGAGGCCGAGGAGCATGGCTATTTCGAGATCAGCCTATAACCTGCGAGTTCGTGATACATTCTGCTCCTTCCTTTTATTTTGTGTGGCTTGTGAGGGAAGTATGTGTGACCCCCCTGTTTAATAAATGTCCATTTCCAGTTGAGGGTTTTCCTTTGGAATTCTATTTCCCTCCCTGTAACAATTACTTTATCCAAGTCGCACTCGGCCTTCTTCTTGCTTTGTGCCGTCACGCGCATCGGGCACCAGACAGCTAGAGATGTAAAGTGCAAAATCATAAAATAATTCTCAACAACACAGCGTTAACGCAATAGAAGGGCAACTAGTTTTCGTAAGAATACAGGCATATATTATCCCCCCCCCCGGCCTCCCCCCCAAAACATCATGGCTCTAGAAGCCCAGGGCATTTGGTAGATTTAAATCAACGAAATTGACTCAGTGTCTAATAAAGCCATGATCTTTAACGAGCCACATGAAACACCATAGTAGTAATCGCGCTTTGCTTCGGTGCGTACGTGGTGTCGGATGAAGGCTTGCGCCATAAAGTGCCCTCGTCTCCAATTGGCAGCCGCGCGTCTAAAAGTGGTAAAGGCCGCATCTGCAAGTGCGAGTGGGGTCAACTGGTCTGTTATCGTGATGTGACCCGAAGTCTAGCTATGGGTTCAATTGGCCGTGGATTGGGTTCCGTCATGTTTCTTGAGACGATAATTTGGTACTAATATTACGGTTTATATTCTGTTTTTCTGTCTCTCCAATTAATTTCCTGTGCATGCTGTGTCACTTCCACCCCTGTTATTATCCGTACATATCCAGTACTTAGGAAAAACTGGGACTGGGGGGCTCATATTGTCGGTTACCACTTTGGGAATCGGGCTCCGCTTAGTCAGTTTAATGCCCGCCCAAACCCGCCGCATAATCTTAGATGGGCGAAATGAAACGAAAGTCGCAATCAGCCTGTGGAACTAGGCGACTAATACATCGACGCCGCCCTCTGCATATTCGGGCGTCCTTCAGTCCATAGACTTCCTCACAACTCCTACCCACTGTGATGTGAAGACGGCGCCCACGACAACTCACGTAAGTAAAGGCGAATCCATAAAATCGGATAAAATAATTCTCGTCACAGCAAGAAAAATATTAGGGGGTATTAAGGTTAAAAAGTGCGAAGGTTTTAGAATCGTGTTTCCTCTTAGTTTTGTACTGTTTCGTTTCAGTGCTTATCTCGGTGAAATTATCAGTTAAAAAGGGAGATAGGTGATGTCTGGCAATACGAGGCGCCGAAATATCCAGAGGCCCCCATGTATCAGTCGCCGTGTCACCAGTCACAACATCTGTGGAATGAGACCCGCACCTGCAACCGTATTGAGAGCGATGCCGGGTGCTATTTCATCAAGCTTAGAAAAGAAGTTCGCTACGTGTTATGCATGCGGATGCCCGACTGATAATAAATTCCTTCTGTCTCCCAAGCAAATAAACCGC